TATGCACCGTTGATGTCGGATATCACAATGTCTAGCACGTTGACCGTCTCGTTCCAGTGCTCTCGCCGATAGTGCTTTTGTCTCCTAGCAGAGGTGGGTTCATGACTCGCCAAAGCTCCACTAGGAGACGAGCACGTAGCGCCAAGGTCTTTGACCTCCAATCAACCCATGGCTCATGGTGTTCCAACCATGCCATTCCTAGAATGAGGTCATACCTTGCATCCAAGTCTAAGACTAGACAGCGTTCCACGCTATCAAAACCAAGAAACGTGACTGCGAGGTCCACAGGGACCTTCGGGATCGTGACACGCGATCCCGTCGCTAAGCGAACAGTGACGATGTCACCCAACCGCGCTTGCCTCAGAATACAGCTGACTTCCCTCCTTCGTGGAGCGTCGAGCATAAATGTCCGACGCCCCAGAATCGATGAGGATCTTCCATGGATTCTCGGAGCCCTTTACGGTCGCCTCCACGACCAGCAAGCCAGGCTTGCACACACGTTCCGTTTTTAAGAGCACGGAGCTTTTTGGGGCTGGGCCCTGTTGACCTGTGCCTCCCTGAGGCTCAACAGAACTCAGTTCTTCCCCAGTAACTCGTCCCGCGCCTACTGAGTAGTGTCGTTTCCCCGCGACTAACCAGACTGGTAGGCGCTGGGAAGATGGTTCGAAGAACCTTGACGCGCCTTGCGCAAGGGGCAACCGCTCTGAAGGTGACGGTTGCCCCCACAGACAAAAACACCGTCGAATGTGTGTATGCTGCCCGGCAGCTAGGAGCTCTGCTCCCTTGTCCCCAGCATAGCTGAGATCCATGGGTATAGGCCCGCTCGACGAGCTGCTGGAATGTGCATTCCAGCCAAGTCGTGCCGACTTGAAATTAGATCTGGCATTCAATGCCATATTCACCGCTTCTTCAAATGAGGACGGATGCACACGGACGACTTCCATTCTGGCCACGCCAGTGCGGAGGCCTTCCCCAAACACGGTCACTGTGACCTCCGGGAGAGGATCTGCTGCCATCCCGGCAATGAGCGTTCGCAACTCTTGGACAACTCCACCGATTCCTTGTTGCCCTTCGGGCGGCAAGGAAACGCGATCGCACGCGATATGCCTGATTAGGCGGCGAGTACACTCGTGAGAGCTGCAATTACAGCTTCGCCCAGGAGGGAAACGCAGCGTCGACCGACGTGCCGCACGTCAGTGCCCATTTTCGCACTCGACCTCCGAGCTTTGAGATGGCTAGCGCCACGCTTTTGGTCGGTTTGGAGCATGGCGGATGCGATGGCTATCTCGACCTCCCTCATCCAGAGCAGAAGATTCTCACCATCCTTTCCCTCGAAGACCTAAACGCTCACCATAAGCGGCTTAGGGCGGGGAAAATCATCCGTCACTGACGGTGGCGTCATAGACGCAAATG